GGACTCGAGGATTCAAGCCCCCCAGCCCGGGCGCGGCCTGTCCTCATCCCTCTGACCTCAGAGCGGTGGTGTTGGGCGCCCTCGGGCCTGGGCTTCCTGCTCTGCAGTGTCGCCCCTGGGGCGGTTTCCTCCTGTTCGTAAAGCCCGTTCAAGCCTCCAGTGAGGCTGCTTGGCTCTGCCTGCTCGGACCCCTCCACTGGACCCCTCCACCCGCCGGTTCCTCTGGGGGCCGGAGGGAGGCCCCGCGGGGAGTGGGGGCCGGGCTCTGCCGCTGGCGGGTGGCTCACCGTCCCCGGCGTTTTGGGTAGAGAACTCGAGCCTCTTCTGCGCCTCCCAGGTGGGGGTTCCGAGCCACGGGGTCGTCGTGCAGGAATTTCAGAAGCAGCAGTCGGACCCCGAAGGCGCCTGCCCCGTCCTGCCTCGTGCTGGCAGCCTCACCGTGGGCCAGAGCCAGGAGGACGGACAGGGCGCCTGCGAGGCCTGTCCAGGGGCCCGAGGCCCCGGCTTCCCCGCCCAGCTGGGGGAAGACGCAGAGCTGCGTGTTCCCTCCGGCGGAGCGTCCCGGGCAGACCGCTCCCGCCACTGCACCCGCGGCTCCGGCCAGGCCCTGCCACCCCAGCCCCGGCCCTGGGTCACCTTGGGGTGGGAGCAGTGACCCGGCCCAAGGGCAGTGATGTGGCCGCCTCGCCCGGCAGGGAGGGAGCGAGGGCACGGGCGGGCACGGGCGGGCCTCTGCTGTGCATGTGGGTACAGGGCGTCCCGCACACCACCACTCGTGGAGCCGTGAGCACTGACTCGCACCCCGACGGAGGGTGGCTCCGATGCCATCAACTTTGAAGTGCGCCCCGAGATCAGCCTTCCTCACAGTCCAAGAGCTGCTGGGAAGCCAGGGCCCCCTCCTGGCGCGGTGCCGCCGCCTGGGGAGACCCTCCCTTTCCCAGGTGCTTCCTCCCTCCCTCCCTCCCTGCCCGCCCAGCCACCAGCTCTCCGTGGCCCTGCTGGGCTTTGCTCCTCGGCCTGCCCCGACACAGGGGGAGGCTGCAGGCACCGCCCTGCTGGGGGGCCGCTGCTGGGGTGTCCATGGGCACAGGGACTGTCACGCCCCTGGGAGCTTCTGGCGCCCGCAGGCAGGCCCGGCCTTCATGAGGGCCTCCCGCAGGGGCTTCTCAGGGCAGGGCCTGGGCGGTGGCCCCGGGGACATGCCTGCCCTGCCGGCCCGAGGAGCGTCACAGGGGCGCGGTGACGGCTCACGGGCAGGCGCGGGGCCAGGGCACGGTGCCGTCTGCAAGGCCAGGTGCCCAAGACGGGCCTCGGGACAGACGGGGCGAGTGGCCGTGGAGCGCGGGGGCAGCAGGGCCACCCAGGCCGGCTCGGCAGGCAGCAGAGCTCCAACTCCGGCTTCTCACCCAGTTAACGAGCCGCCTGCAGGTGGCCTTAGAGGCGGCCATGTGCGGGCCCCAAGGGCAGCTGACATCTGTCCCCAGCGGGACCCCACAGAGAGGAGGGGGAGCCACCCTCGGCACTAAGACCGGTTCCAGGGGTGCAAAAGGGAAGTTGCTTGTTTCGGATCTCTGGGTGGCCCCTGGCGCTGCTGTCCCGAGTCTGCAGACCAGCTGGGCTTTGAAGAGAGGCGGGAGCCTGGCGGACAATGCCCCCTGGGGGCCTGTGGGCGCCTCTGAGGGGTCCTGGGAGCTGGGGCATCTCGTGCCAGCGTTTCCTGGTGTGGCCCCTCCCCACTGCCGTTCAGAGCACTTGGCTCCACGCGGGAAGTGGGGGCGCGTCTGCCTGGCCAGACGCAGCAGACACCGGGCAGCCAGTGGGGCCACAGGTGGCCGATGGAGGGAGGGACAGGCGGAGGCCAAACATCAGGGGCCCATGGAACAGGCGCGGAGTGGAGAGGCTAGAAGGAGCAGCCGCAGCACGGCAGCCCCTCCGCCCGAGCGCCCGCTGCCTGGAGAGCGGGTGCGTGTGTGGAACCGGACGCAACGGCCAGCCTGGAATCAAGTCTGCGGTCTGAGCCAGGCGCGTCCAGCCAGAGGCCCGCGGGGAGGCGGGCAGGGCGCGCTCTTGCTGGCTTGGGGACAGTCAGTGAGACGTGACAAGTGGCTCTGGCTCCGGCCACCGGGGCGTCCTCAGGGCGTCTGCAGGTGCAGGGCAAGGTCACAGGTGGACAGAGCTGCCTCCGCGCTGTCCCCGAGCCCGGCCTGTGTTGCAAGGCCAGCGGCCATGGGGAGAGGCTCAGCCGGTGGCTGCGGCTCTGCCTCGGCTGGGACAGCAGGGGCTCAGTGAGAAGGGCCTCGGGCCGGGCGCGCGGGGGATGAGGCAGGTGGGGGGTCACAGGGAAGGGTCCAGATGTAGAGGCCGGGACGTCTGTCCTCTGTCGTGGGGTGACTCTTGGAGAGGAGGAGGGCGAGGCAGTCCGTTCCCACCACGGCCCCTGCCAGCCTTGTCTGGACTCGGGGTGGGGGGGCGCCCACCAGGCAGCACCCAGGAGCAGTCACGACCGGGGGCAGAGCAGGTGCGTGCGTCCCCGGCGCGGCTGACGTGACACGTGGGGCTGGCGGTGCCCCCCTGGAGCTTCTGGCATAATTTAAATAATCAGAATTTTTTCTTCTTTGTTCTGGCCAGGTTTAGAAGGCTGTGAAAAGACCCGGTCTGCTTTTAGAAGTGTAAAAATACCCCGGTGATAAAAGCCGCTCCCTGCCTGACGGGCAGATGTAAGCGGCTCCTGTCTGCATTTCAGCGCCTGCGCTGGGCCGGGGGCTCTGAGGACCCGCAGCCTCGGGAGTGGGGTGTGTCCTTATGAATGTGCACGCGCGTGTGTGTGGTGTGCACATGTGATGTGTGTGGTGAGTGCACACGGTGTGTGAATAGTGTTGCACACACATCATGTATACATGTGATCATGTGCATGCGATGTGTACATGCCCCGTGTATGTGCATGGCGTGTGCACACATCTCCTGCACGTCCATATGGTGAGGCAGGGGCAGGTCTCTGGAGCACCGCCCACTCACCGGGAGGTGTCACGGCTGCGCTGCGCTTCTGGTTGGCTTTCTGAAACGCATTTTGTGCAAGAATCAGCTGATCCCAGGGGCTGCTGTTTGGCAGGGGGCATAGTCCCCTGACCCTGGGCTGCTGTGCCCCGTCCCAGCCTCTGGGGGGCCAGGTGGAGGACACAGTGGGGCCGCTGGGCTTGCTCCCAGGTCCTGGGTAAGCTTCTTCCATCCCAAATGCATTTTGCTGTTTTGGAGGGGCTTAGCCCCTTCTCGGGCCCCCTGACCCTCCCCGGGGACAGAGCCCCAGCTTTCAGGTCACCAGGGCGCTGCCCATCAGTCCAGCACTGCGGTCACCGTCAGACCTGCAGCTGCGGCCTGTGGACTAAAGGGCAGGACCTCGGGCCGCCCCGCTGCCCCGCTGGCCCCAGCTCCCACTCAGTCTGATCCTGGCGTCTGGGGGGCCCCGCGCCCTGTGTGTGCTCCCCCTAGCCCGCGTTACTCTCTGGGGCAGGGTAGACCCCACCCAAGGGCCCCCCAGGCCCCACCCGCAGGCTCCAGCTTCCCCGGATGGTGGGGAGCCAGCTGTCTTCAAGAGGAAACAGCTGACGAGCGTTTGCTCGCAAGTAACCCCGATCTCAGCCTGAGCCGCCAAGAGGCCGGTAATGAGCAGGCGCCCACAGTTAGGGCTCCCGGGTGAGGTCATGTGTGTCCCTGGGGCCCCTGGCCCAGGGCACCGGGCTCCTAGCCACAGAGCTGCATCCCCACGAGGAGCCACGGCCTGGGGCTTGGTGCACGCAGGCCTTTGGGGTCCCTGCCCCCACCAGCCCGGTCCTCCTGTGCTGCGTGCAGACCTGTGCCCTGGAAGCCGGGGCCGAGCGTGACCCGTTGCAGCCCCACCCCCGCAGCCGCCCGCCGTTTGCTCCTGTCCCCTCTGGGACAAAGGGCACAGCCCTCCCGAGGCCCCGGTAATGAGGCGGGTGGCAGGACCGCGAGCTTCCTGCCCCGGCTTCCGCTTCTCTGGCTGATTAAACAAGGCCCCAGGGGCTCCCCTCCATGTCAGGTGTGCTGGCGACAGCTCGGCCGTCCAGGGTCCCACCGTGAAGGAGGCGGTGGCGGGGAGAGGACCCCCAGCCCCTGGACAGCCTCGCTCATGTGAACACCCCACTTTGGGGCTGTAGGGATTGGGGAGCAGGCCCAGAACAAGCATCCGCTGAGCCCCCACCAGCTCCTTCCTGGCCGGGCCCTCGGTGCCGTGGGCAGCCGGGACGGGCACCTGCCTGATTCTGCTCCCCAAGGGCACGTCCTGAGAAGCCTCAGGAAATAAGATGCCGGGAGCCGGGAGTCTGGCCTGTGAGTCCAGCTGCCTCCACCTCTGCTGCCCCCGCACCCCAGCACCTCTGATGGGCTGCTGGGAACAGGCGTCAGCGCGGCCCCCTGCTGGGAGGTGCTGCTGTTCCTTTCACAGGGGGAGGCGGGAAGAAACTTCAAAACAATTTGATTCTTGGCAAAATGATACGCTTTTATTTTTAATTAGTAAATAATACATTGCTGAGTGACGAAGTAAGCATTTAAGGTAAAGTTTATATTGTTAATTCACGGTCACACCGATGACAGATCAACAAGGTGGTTCCGTTCACGGGGGCAGGAGCTGCCTGCCGCGGGGGCCCGGGTCGCAGCCCCCCGTTTTCTGCTCCCGCTGCCTGGGGAGCCTGGCCCCGCCCGCTGCACCCTGTTCCGCAGTGAGAGCGGCCCCGGCGGGGTGTGTGAAGGGGCCCCGTGGGCTCTGGAGCCATCGCACCTGCAGTAACTGCCTCACGACCCAGACGCTCGGCCGGAACGTGGCCGCGGCGTAAACACGCCATGAGGCCCTTTCCTTGCCCGGAACCTGGCGTCCGGTACCGGGGCTGGGGGTCTCAGCGTGGGCCCGGGGCTCGGCCCAGGGGCCTGTGTCGTCCACCAGGGCTCCCGTGTCGGTGTTAATCAGCGCGGTCTGCTCTTTGCAGGGTACAAGACCCTCCTGAAGGGGATTTCCGGGAAGTTCAACAGCGGGGAGCTGGTGGCCATCATGGGGCCCTCGGGGGCTGGGAAGTCCACGCTCATGAACATCCTGGCTGGATACAGGTGAGCATGGGAGGGGGAGGGGCTCGCTGGGGTTCTGGGGTGGCAGCAGGTGTCCTGGGGCCACTCGGCCTGGCGGCCGTGCCTAAGTTCAGTGCAGCTGCAGTGAGGCCTGCGGGCCGGGCAGGGCAAAGGAGACCACTCTGCTGTGGGGGGTGACCTTGTGGGCGGGGGAGGGTGGACAGTGCAAGGTGGATGGTGGACCGTGCAGAGTGGACATTGTGCTCAGGGGAGAGTTCCCGGAGCCGAGCGGCCAGGCCCAGCCTCAGGGCTTCCGGAATGGGAAGGTGGGGGTGGCACGGACCCCTGGAAGGGGGGGGTAGGGAAGACAGGGGAGCCCGGCTCGTGCCTCGCTGCCACGGTCATTGTTTGGACTTTGGAAGCCACAGTCGCTGATGTCCTACCTGAGGCGTTCCCGACCACGTGTCAGGGACCAGGACGCAGAATGTTCAGGGCCTCTGCCGCTCCGTGGCCAAAAAAGAGACAATGTCACCCCTTTCCTTAGAATTCCTGAATTTCTCCTTAACGCACAAGTTTAGGATTTTTTTCCAAATCTCGCATGACAAATCCTGCCTGTTGCAGTCACATCTGAAGCATAAAGCCACACCCCACACCCCACATCACAAGAGGGGCACAGGGGTGCCCTTGGGGGCACGCCTGACACCCGTAGCTCTGGGGCCACAGATGGAGGCCTGGAGGCTGCTGGCTCCCCTGGCCCCAAAGCGAGCCCGTGAGCCCAGCCTCCCTGCAGGAAAGATGGGCCACCCATGACCCTGGGCATGGTGGCCCCGTGACCCCAGCCGGACGGCCCTGGACACAGATGCACTCTCGCTGGTCTCCATGGACGCCACGTAGGGCGTGGGGTAGGGCATGTAGGGGCAGGGCTGGGAGAAGAGGCTCCTGGCAGCATGCCCACCCCTCCCCAGGCGGAGGGAGCCCCAGGCAGGAGATGCCAGCACAGTGGGCCTGCGGGTGGGTGCGTGGCTGCCCCTCCATCCACTGTGGGCAGAGAAACTGCGTCCTGGTGGAGAAGGACCATCCTTGTGGCCGAGCGGGTCCAGGGCCCAGGCCCCAAGTCTGGGGACTGTCCGAGCCCGGGAGCCAGCCGTGGGCCCTCCCGGTGGGCAGCCGCTTGCACCAGGGACAGCTCCAAGGTGCCAGCCGCGCCCCCACTGCAGAGCACAGCCTGTGGGGCTGTCGGTGTGACCTCGGGTGTGACCTCGGGTGCACACAGGGTTGGCTGGGGACCGATCTTAGGACTCTGCACAAAGCCAGGGTGCACCTCCGACCCTGCGGGCATCTTTGTTCAGTGGGCGCGTCTCATCAACACCCCAGCCCCCTCCCTCCCGTGCGACCCTCTCTCCCCTGCCCTGGCTGGGCAGGGCGGCTGACCGCGCGCTGTCCCACCTACAGGGAGACCGGCATGAAGGGGGCCGTGCTCATCAACGGGCTGCCCCGGGACCTGCGCCGCTTCCGGAAGGTGTCGTGCTACATCATGCAGGACGACATGCTGCTGCCGCACCTGACCGTGCAGGAGGCCATGATGGTGAGCGCCCCCCGCCCGCAGAGACAGCGCTAGGTGCCAGGGGAGGCCACCCGCCCTACCCCACTGAGCTCCTGCCCCACCAAGCAGGGCCTGGGGCCCCGAGCTGTGCTGGCAGCAGAATTGCACCCGAGAAACACTGCCCAGTCCGGTTCCACTTGCCTGTTTCTATGGTATAAGCTCTCCCCCATGGAAAGTTCTAGATGCCTGGGGTTTGCATCCCTCCACTGCCCCAGCCCCGTCTCTGGAGGACACAGAGGGAGCTGCTATGCGAATGGGGGCTTCTAGCTCGGCCCCTGCCTGCACCCCGCGCAGGCCACAGGAGCGGTGCAGGGCCTGGGAAGCTGCGGGGACCCGCGGGTGCCGTGTTCTGACCTGCCCATGCGCCCTGCAGGTGTCCGCACACCTGAAGCTGCAGGAGAAGGACGAAGGCAGGAGGGAGATGGTGAGTGTGGTCGGGGTTCCAGCGCACAGAGTCCGTGGGGGCACCTGCTGGCGCCGCCTAGGTGGTTGGGGTGTTTGATGACCTTGGAGGGGTGGGGGCGACGTGACCCCCGGTGTGTGCCCCGCCCGGCAGCCGGGGCCAGGGTGACTGGTCACTCCGCGCAGAGTCTGGCTCCCTCAGGTCCGCACTAGGACAGCCAGGGGGGCGGACTTAGGTGACCAGAATCCCACTCAGCGCGGGGCCCGGCGCAGACCCTTTGGGCCTGATACCTTCACACTCAGCGGCTTTTTATAAAACAGCAACAATGGAGAAGTTAGTCATTCCTTTGAAAATAGCCGCCTCCGCCCACACACGCTCTCCAGGGGAGCTGCGGCTCCTTCATGCTAGTAACCGGCCTCTGAAAAAATAAACAAGTTTCCAGCACGATGAGGCCTTCTAAGCCCGCCATGGCTGCCGCGAAGCCTCCGGCTCGGGAGCAGCGAGGGTCAGGACCAGGCCCCGCGGGAGCTCCACGACCCCACACTGCGGAGAGTTCACGCGTGTGCATCACTCCGTGGGGACAGCCCCCTCGCTGGGCAGCGAGCCTGTGGGCAGGAATGGAGCTTGGTGAACCCCAAATCATGCAACATCATGTCCGCTCCTGCCTCCCTTGTGGGAGCAGGGACAGTGCTGCTGGGTTGCCACTGAAGTCCACTTGGCCTCTGCGTTCTGACGGGAATGGACAGTTGGTGGACTTAGTTAAAGGGGCTGAGGAGACAGGAGCAGAGACTGCTGGGGACATGCGTCCCACCCACCGGCCCAGGTGGCATAAGCAGAAGCCACCCCCAGGGGTCGGCATCTTCAGGGCCACCCTCTCCTCGCCCGCTGCACCTGCAAACTTGGGGCCACCAGTGCACCCCACGGCAGAGCCAGCGTCTGTGCGGAGTTGATGGCCGCGCCTGGTCTCTCCCTTGGCTCACAAGTGGGGAGTGTGGAGCAGCGAGTGTCCCCACGGGCCCCCGGAGCTCTGGGGTCCTGCATGGTCCCCCACAGGAAATCCGGACTTGGCCGCCTGGACCCCAGGCCTCCACAGGGTCCCACTGCTGAAGCTGCCACTGCGGTTGTTCCAAGCCCGCCTGTCTCCCACCAATCTGCTACCTGGGCCTCTGCTGTTTACTTTTCCTGGAAACACAATAGAATGGAATGTTCCAGCAGGTGGTGTCCTCCAAGGCGCTTCCTTGTTTCCCAGAAAAGCGGCCCAGCCCTGGAGGCACTTCCTCAGGCAGAGCAGGGGGGGGCAGGGGGCAGTTGGGAGGGGGGATGCCTTCCTCCCGGTGACCCGGAAGCTTTCCTTGGCGGTTGCTCCTCTCACTAGTTCGTAAATGTCACTGCGGCATCGTTGGCGTCTGACAGTATATGAGCTTCAGCCGCACGGCATTGTAATTCCAGATCTTTCTATACGGTGGCGTCCACTGCCTCCCCACGGCCTCTTCACCCCTTTCATCCCCGCTCACCCTCCTTCCCCTCTGGGCACGCACCCTCTTTTCTGTCTCCTCGTGTGAGACCCTCCGCGCTTGTCTTTGATTTATTTCCTGTTTGCCAGGCCCGTCCACATCGCCACCCATGGCAAGGCCTTGCCTTTTTGATGGCTGAGTAATAGTCCACGGTGTCTCTAGTCACATATCTTCCTTTCCCACTGGTCCACTTCCTGGCCAGTTCTAAAGCCAAGCCGCCCCGCTGGCTGGAGAAGATGCCCCTGACAGTGCGGGCAGGTGAGGCCACCGAGTGGCCTCTGCCTCCACATCCTGCCTGCTGCCCTTCGTCCCGACCGTGTGGACAACCCAAGAGCAGACAGAAAGTTCCTTTCCTGGAGACGCCTTCTCCTTTTGAATGCTCCCCAGGGGAGCTGCTGGCGTGTCCAGCAGGCGGGGAGGGCCCGTGGATCCCGCCTGACAGCAGTCTGCGGCGGCTGCCTTTCTGCTCCCTGAGACGATACAGGATCAGTGACTTGGAGCAAATGGGGGGGGCTTCACATTGGCCTGTTTGTGTCTCGGGGCCCAGCCAGCTTCCCAGGGCCAGCTGGGGACCTCTGCGAGGGCGGCTCTCGACAGCTCTCTTCCCCAGCGGGCAGCAGGACGGGGCGCGGCTCGATGGCCCCAAGGGACGTGGTCAGAGCCTCAGGCTTGAAATGAGCCTGCCCCACTGGGCAGCTGGGGTGGTTTGGTATGGCCCCCTGGGGTGGTGAGGTATGGCTCAGGGGCCCTGACCGCCCCTGGCCCTGTTGCCCCCAGGTCAAGGAGATCCTCACGGCTCTGGGTTTGCTGTCTTGTGCCAACACGCGGACGGGCAGCCTCTCGGGCGGCCAGCGCAAGCGCCTGGCCATCGCACTGGAGCTGGTCAACAACCCCCCCGTCATGTTTTTCGACGAGCCCACGAGGTAACCGTGAGCCCAGCCTGCCCCGCCCTGAAGCCGCCACCCCTACCCCCCAGGGGCCAGCTCTCCTGCTCCCCAAGACTTGGGGGTGGGTGTCTTGGGGTCCCGGGCCTCATGGCGCCCTCTGACTTGCAGCGGCCTGGACAGCGCGTCCTGCTTCCAGGTGGTCTCCCTGATGAAGGGGCTGGCCCAGGGCGGCAGGTCCATCATCTGCACCATCCACCAGCCCAGCGCCAAGCTCTTCGAGCTGTTTGACCAGGTACGCAGCCCCTGAGGCAGCCGGGAGACCCGCCCACTCGCGTCCACCAGGCGGGTCCTGCTCTCGGCCTCGGTCCTTGAGGCTTGGGACGTCCCCTGCTTGTGAAGGGCGGGAGGAGCTGGCTGGGTCCACCCGGGGTCCCGGGTCCTACTGACGTTGCTCAGGGAGCCCCCATGAGGCCGGGCATCCGTGTCACAGAACGAAGCGCAGGTTACTGTGTGTGGAGTGTCCGGCCTCTTGCATGACCCTCAGGTTTGTATGTTATTCTAAGAAAAAGAAATCCCAGAGGATCTGGCCCCAGTCGGTGCTCTGTTAGATGGGGGAGGGGAGACAGTCCCGGCCTCTGCCCCCCACGCGCGTTCCCTGTGAGCTGTAGTCTGGGCGAGGATGTCACGTTCTCAGAGGTGGTCGATGGGCGGACGATGGGCGGACAGATGGACAGGTGGGCAGGCCTGACGTCTCCCTTCTCCTTGCCTTTTCCAGCTCTACGTCCTCAGCCAAGGGCAGTGCGTGTACCGCGGAAAGGTCTCCAATCTCGTACCGTATTTGAGGGACTTAGGCCTCAACTGCCCGACCTACCACAATCCCGCGGACTTCGGTGAGTAGAAGGCAGGGGCTCCACTGCTGCCCGGAGTCCCGGTCAGGAATTGCTGGAACATTCCACAAGTGACCAAACGCCATCAAATGGGGAATTTTTGAAAGCAGAGGAAAGGAGCCACCCCAACCCCACCCCCGGAGAAGCTGGAGTGGCTGCGGGCCCCAGCGAGGCAGGTGAAAGGAAGTTGTCTCTAAAAGGAAACACCCTCCATATAAAGGCGGTGCCCGCTGCGGTGGCTAATGGGGACGTGAAAACTCCAATTGAACTCCCAACCCAGCAGGTGGCCGTGGGTGGCCCTCAGTGTCCGGAGACCAGGCCCGGGCACTGCCATGGTGCGGCTCCCAGACTGAGGGGTGACTGTGGCCATGCGCTGCGCGCACGTCGGCCCCTTGGGCCCCACACCCTCCGATGTGCGGCCCCAGCTCCTTGTGGCGGCCCCGGGCCCCGTCTCTCCGGCGCACCTTCAGCCCGTCACCTCCTCGTCGTCCACACGGAGCTGGGGCCTGCTGCCGGGCCTCCCCTGGTCCTCTCCCCTCTGAGGACCAGCCTCTGGGCCCACCCTAAGTCCAGGAGAGTTGAGTGAGCCTGTGGGGCCTTTCCAAACAAACACAGTGTGACATGAACTCGGGGAGTCACCCTCTCCTCCCCCAGCATCGAACATCTGGCCCCCCCAGGGCACCATTCCTTGGGGGGCTTCTCCTCTAAGAAGGGGCAGCAGGCAGGGAGTTTGGGGTGACCTGGATATGGGGCCAGCTCCCCGGAGCACCTAGCCAGCAGGGAGCACCGCCTGGTGGTTGCAGGACCCAGCGGACACCTGGAGCACGGAGAGCTGCACTCCAGGAAAGCGGGGCCTCGTCACTCCGCACACACTGCAGTGGGGTCCTGTGGGGCTGGGGAGGAGCCTAGCAAGGACAGGACAGGCCCAGCCCGAGAACGGGGTGCAGGAGAGCAAGAGGCAGCAGCCATAGTGAGCGATGTGGGGAGTACTGGGACAGCACCCTGCAGCAAAGCGAGGGGCCCCCGAAGTATCTTACTGTGCAATGGAATCCCAAATAAGGGGACACGCCTGTATTTGTCCATGAGAGAGAAGGAGTGAAGGTGCTCTGATTGGGGGTGTCCGAGGCCTGCACAGGGAGGCGGGGAAGAGCGAATAACTTCTGGCGCTGGGGTCCCGCAGCCCCTGGTGGCTTCTCCCTCAGTGTCACCAGGCGAGGTCCAGGGTGCAGTGGGAGCGGCGAGCGAGTGGGAGACCCGGCTGGTTGGGCGTCGGGGTGAGGATGTTCTGGGCCACGTGTCCTGGTTTCCACTGGGTCTGTAGACCTGGCTGCCCCGGGAGGGCACTTAGCGCGTGTGGCCAGGGGCCCGAGGCCAGGGCCTTCTGGACCTCAGCCCCAGGTTGTTGAGATGAGGGTCCAGGAGGCCCGGAAGGAGCGGGGACGGAGTGGGGCATCACCCCCAGGTGTGGAGCCGGCCATGTGGCAGGAGAGGAAGCGGGGCCCGGACCTTGACCGAGTCTAGAGGTGCAGAAGGGCATGATGCGCAGGGCCCAGGCAGGGCGGGTGGAAGAGAGGCTCACAGGAGAGCTGAGACGGATGCCGGGCACCCTGAGGACCTGCTCCCTTCCTGTGGTCCCACAGAGCTGCCGCCGCTGCCGTGGCTCCCACGCGACCCACGGGACAGGCACCCCCGAGCAGGGACCCCTCCCCATTCCGATGCCCAATGCCCGCCTCCCAGGCATTCGGGAACAGGATGCTGGAGCAGGGGGCGGCTCCCCGCGGGCTCCCCACCACACAGCACCCCGTGTCTGCGGCGGCCATGACGGTTTTGTGGGGTGTGGGCCCCATGTTTGCTGGTGATTCTGACGAATCGTTACCTCTGGCAGCGCCTCTGGAATTGCTCGGAAACACCTGTAGAGTGAGGGTGACGGGCGGGGTGAGTGGCCTGGCCCTCAGGAGGGGTGTTGGGTGCTCCGCCTGACCCCGCCTGACCCTGTCCCCCCCACAGTCATGGAGGTGGCCTCGGGCGAGTACGGGGACCAGAACGGCCGCCTGGTGAGAGCCGTCCGCGAGGGCGTGTGCGACTCCGACCACAAGAGGGAGCTCGGGGGCGATGCCGAGGTGAACCCCTTTCTTTGGCACCGGCCCTCTGAAGAGGTAAAGCAGGCAAAACGATTAAAGGGGTTGAGAAAGGTAATGCCACCCCCTACCCCGGGCAGAGCCTCGTGCCGCGCCCGCCCCGCACGCCTGGCGTCTGGGCGGGGCGCTGCTCACCCCGCTGTGCCCCCAGGACTCCACCTCCATGGAAGGCTGCCACAGCTTCTCCGCCAGCTGCCTCACCCAGTTCTGCATCCTCTTCAAGAGGACCTTCCTCAGCATCATGAGGGACTCGGTGAGGAGCCCGTGGGGCCGACGGGGTCTGCTCTGGCTCGGCGTGTGTGTGTCTGAGTGTGTGTTTGTGAGTGTGAGTCTGTATCTGAGTGCGTGTGGCATGTGCATGTGTGTATTTGTGTGTAAGTGTGTCTGAGTGTTGTGCATGTGGTGTGTGTGTGTATGTGTGTCTGAGCATATGTGTGAGTGTGCATGTGGCGTGAGTGTGTGTCTCAGTGTGGCGTGTGTCTGGGTTGGTTCGGGGCTGGGGGCTGGTTCTTCTGGGGCAGAGGGGCAGGCGAGCCTGGCACCGGCTTGGTGAGGCCCCGAAGCCCCTGCCCTGCCCTGGCCGGCACGCGGTGCACCGGTAAACGCCCGCCCGCCCCCAGGTCCTGACACACCTGCGAATCACCTCTCACATCGGGATCGGCCTCCTCATCGGCCTGCTCTACCTGGGCATCGGGAACGAAGCCAAGAAGGTCCTGAGCAACTCCGGCTTCCTCTTCTTCTCCATGCTGTTCCTCATGTTCGCGGCTCTCATGCCCACCGTTCTCACCTGTGAGTGCCTGACCGCGGAGCCACCTCTGCCCCTTACCTGGCCCCCTAGGAAGGGCACTGGCCAGCAGATGAGTTTTCTGAACACACCGGATCTTTTTGCTTAAATCCCACACTCTGCCAACGGATGTAGGTCTTGCTGTAGTTTCTATGAGGCCAGAAAATACACCGTGTAAGCCACAGGAATGACTCTCTAATGGTAGATTTTAAAGCACGGAGAGAGAGCGCTTTCTAGGAGGCTCCTCCTCGGGAACCCATCCAGTCCTGCTGCCTACGCATTTCCTCATTCGGTGGGTCAGAGAGCCCTGGTGTGGCCAAGCGTGTGGGCGGATGAACGGTTCCAGCGGTTCTCTGTTCCAGATGGAGGGCAGAGCAGGCTGCCCCTGGTCAGCTGGGGCTATCAGTGTAGAATGCGGCCCTCATCAGGACTCCAGCTTGAGCAGCCCCTCCCTGAAGTCCCCCCGGGGCCCCCGAGCTGGGCACCTCACCTGAGGCACCCCTGGGAACACAGTCCCCGAAGGAGGTTCCGTGCTCGAGTCTGTGTTCTCAGGATGACAACGTGGGCTGGTGACGCCTCAGGGGCCAGGCGTGGGCCAGTGGGGTGACCAGGCTCAGCACCGGGGCATCGGGGGGACATTAGCCAGGCGGGCCTGAGACTGACTCTTCCTGGTTTCCCTGCCCCTAGTTCCCCTGGAGATGGGAGTGTTTCTGCGTGAGCACCTGAATTACTGGTACAGCCTGAAGGCCTACTACCTGGCCAAGACCATGGCAGACGTCCCCTTCCAGGTACGCAGCCTCGGGGCACGGTTAGGGGGGCCTCCCTGCGCCCTCCCGCCCGGCCTGGCAGCAGGTGGGGCGCCCCCTGAGGCCGCGCTGTGCTTGCAGATCATGTTCCCGGTGGCCTACTGCAGCATCGTGTACTGGATGACCTCGCAGCCGTCCGACGCCGTGCGCTTCGTGCTGTTCGCCGCGCTGGGCACCATGACCTCGCTGGTGGCACAATCCCTGGGGCTGCTCATCGGGGCGGCCTCCACATCACTGCAGGTAGTGGCTGGGGAGCCCCGGGCTGCTTCCCTCGTCGCCGGGCCTCGGGTCTTCCTTCACCCTCCGGCCGAGACCCGCTTCTCCTAGTCCCGCCCTGAGCATCTCGTCGACTCCCCCAGGGCTCCCCCGGGCAGGCGGTCTCCCTGCCTGCCACGTGCTGTCTCAGTTCCTTCCCGACACGCTGCAGCCGAGCCCGGCCCGACCCGCCAGCACGGGGGCCTCCCCCAGCTCAGCACCCACGGGCGCAGCCTCAGCACACCCCGGCCGCAGGCGGCAAGAGGCCGTGGTCCAGGCACACCCCCTTTCCCGCTGTGCTGCCCTGGCCCTGAGCCCCGGAGCCACCTTGTGGCCGAGGCATGCCAAGGCTGGCGGGCCCAGCTCTGAGAGTCTCCTGTGCTGCTTCTGGGGAGCCCCTTCTGGGGCCGGGCCACTCCCCCAGCCCGCCCAGCCCCCTGTGGGAGGAGTCCCGCCCACCACACCTTTCCCACACCTGCCCATCCTCTGGGGCTGTTGCCCCTCTCGTGTCGGTGGGGACCGTGGCGGCACCTGTCCCGCTATGGAAGGCGCTGGGCCCTCCTCTCCTCCTGCGCCATCCCTCCTCGCCCTCCAGCTCCGGCCTGAGCCTGCCCCGCTGACCCTCCCCCAAGCCCTGCGGCATCACCCCTCTGCACCCCGACAGGAGACCCCGCCCGGGCCTGCCCTGCCTGGGGACTCAGGTCCTTGGCCGGCTGCTGGGTGTGACGGTGCAGAACAGGCCTTCCTGAGAAGGAGGGGGCGCCTGGCCCCCAAGTGAGCCCTCTGTGCCCCCAGGTGGCGACCTTCGTGGGCCCCGTGACGGCCATCCCAGTCCTGCTCTTCTCAGGGTTCTTTGTGAGCTTCGACACCATCCCAGCCTACCTGCAGTGGATGTCCTACATCTCCTACGTCAGGTGCGCGCCCGCCGCCCGCGGCAGAGCCAGTCGTGCTCACACGCTCGTGCGCCAGGGCAGGGGGCGGCAGGACTCGAGCCCTGGTGGGACCCCACGTACCCTGTGCTTTGGGGGCAGTGGGTGCCCCCATTTTGCAAGTCCATCTTTCCTCAAAGTCCCGGAGATCTGGGAGACCCTAAGAGAGCCAGCAAACCCAGGCCATCTTGGAAACGTCCTAACGTCCTTGGACAAGAACCCGCTGGGGCTGGCCGGGGCGGGGCTGCCGCTCTCTCTGGGCGGCTCTGGGGCAGGCACCAGGTGGGGCAGGCGTGTGCGGGGCTGGGCGGGAGCCACACATGCACGCACGCGGGAGCAGCCAGTTCAGACCCAGATGCCGGGAGCGGGCGATCAACCGCACCAAGCGCTGGGCAGCCCCGGGGGGCTCGCGCCCCGACCCAGCAGCCAGGAACCGCGTCTGCCTCTCAGAGTCAAGGCGTGCGCTGGCCACGCGGCCTGGACCTGGGCGACAGCTCTGGGCCTCGGAGGGCCGTAGCGAAGGCCCGCCTCTCAGCTGGACCCAGGTTCCTCCAGCTCCCTCGCCCCTGAACAAGCGTCCGCTAGTTGTTTGTTTTTTTGCTGGAGATGTTGGAGGAAAGCAAATGAGTCAAAACTCGAGGAAAAAGCGCTCAGAGAAAACAGCGGAGCTGTGTGTGTCGGGAGTGGTGAGAGGGAGGGAAGCGGGCGCGTGACCTGTCCTTGGGGGCAGTGATGGGGCGGGGGTGCCAGCTGGAGGTCAGACCCCACCTCAAACCTGTGCTCCCCCAGGTACGGGTTCGAGGGGGTCATCCTCTCCATCTACGGCCTGGACCGGGAAGACCTGCACTGTGACATCGAGGACACCTGCCACTTCCAGAAGTCGGAGGCCATCCTCCGGGAGCTGGACGTGGAGAACGCCAAGCTCTACCTGGACTTCATCGTTCTCGGCATCTTCTTCATCTCCCTGCGCCTCATCGCCTACTTCGTCCTGAGGTACAAAATCCGGGCGGAGAGGTAAACCTGGCTGTGAGGAGAGAGAACTGGGCATCGTGGACGTGAGCTATGCCCAAGGGCACAGGGAGGACGGACCCTGTCTCTGGAGCGGCTGCCGTGGCCCCGGCTCCTCTCCACCCCCCGGCTTTCAGTAGGAGGAGGAAAGAGACTTTTTGTTTTTCCACAATTCCATGTTACGTTGTGTTCTGGGCAGAACATAAACTCCACGTCGCTGGGAACAGGGGACTTGGGGGAAGTCTCTGTCTGCGCCGGAGAAGGGCCTCCGGCCCCGGGCTGGTTCCCTTTCCTCGGCCGCCGCACGTGCTCTCCGACGCTGGGGCTGAGGCCCACCCGCCCCCCAGGTGTAGCTCTTTCAAGTGATTCGGGATACGGCGCCCCCGCTGCTCTCCCCCCGGTGGATCCGCTGTTTGGAAGGTGCAGCCCTTCCTCCTGGGCCGCACGCAGCCTGTCCGCTGGAGCAGAGTTGGGATTGCAAAGCCAAAGAAACCGACTCTGGGGTGCCAGGCCCGGTGCCCGTTCCTTCTAGAACGTTCCTGGCTTTGTACTGGCTGCCTTGGGATTTCCTCCACCACTTACTTGTGAACCCCCAAGTGCTCAGGGCGGGGCCTGCTCGTGTTGTGCTGGGGCTCCCTCCGGGCTGGGTGCCCGGCCAGCCAAGCCAGCTGAGCGGGGAGCAGGGATTCCAGGCAGTCTCACCCCAGGGTCTCTCTTCTTTTCGCTTTGCCTGTTGCCTCCTGTTATCAGGTGCAAGTGTTCCGGGGACCCTGGGCCTGGGGCAATTCTGGCATGGCCTGTTCTTCTGGGCCTGCTTTCCTCGAGAGGCGAGCTGGGGGGCTCCCCCACGGCCTGGGGGAGGCGCCCGCCTTACCTGCCTGACCCAGGACCCCCCTGTGCCCGGGTGGCACGGAGAGGTGGTGCACCCCACCCCCACGCGGGATTGCTCTGGGCGTGCGTTGAGCTCTGTGTGCGCCCCTCATCCCTGACCTGAAACCGCCCTAACTCCAAGAACGAAGGAAAAGATCCCCCTCCTCACGCCAAGCAGATGGCCAGAGGGGTGAAGCGCTGAGCGCGGTGAGGAAGGGAGGCGGCCGCTGAGGGCCGGGGCTGCGACACGAGCAAATATGACCTTAGATACTTTCGGAAAAACAGATGCTAATAAAGTATTTTACATAAAACTTTTTACTTGTGTTCAGTGGTAAATGCTTGTAACTCAAAGTGATTCTCTGGATTTTACCGAGGGAACGTGGATTTTCAGGCCGTGTGTTTACTTTCCGGCCTGTGGGTCTGGGAAGAGTTGGGCTGAGCGCGGAGCGCCCCGTCTCCTGATGGTAAACGCGCCCTCCCCCGCCCTCAGGCCCCCGTGCCACTGTCCCGCAGGTCGTGCATTCTCGTCCCCCGGCCCCTCGCCCCCCTCTCCCGCTTCCCCCTGCCCCGTTAGCGTCAGAGGCGCCCCCTCAGCGCGCCTGCCCGCTCAGGCCAGCGGCTGCTCCTCTGGGCACCCATGGTGGGGCTTCCTGCTGGGACTCACGGTGTCACCAGACCTTGGGGGACACGAGCCCAAGCCACAGCCGCAGAAATAGCGGAACTCAACATCCTGGCACCCAGCTGGCGTTTCTCTCAGGACAGCAGCCCCGGCCTGCTTTGGTCTGTCGGGACACTCGAGCGAGGAGCCGGCTGACCATTGGCCTGTACTTTGTACGTGGATTTAACTTGCCCCCGAGGCTGCATCTTTCCTCTGCCCCCACCGGGAGGAGACCTGACTGGAGGCACTTGGGAGCCACCGGTGCTCCATCCATGGCCAGCGGGCAGCTGCAGGCTCGACCCCCGCAGGCCTCCCCAGGGCTGCTCCCACAGGGAGATCCAGGCAGCCCTCGCCGCTGCACTAGGGTGGGCGACTCTGCTGCCCAAGGCCCTGGCCTCGCACCAGCCCTTTCCTCCCAGCAGAGCCAGGCCTCAGCTTGGCAGAGCTTTCCAGAAAGTTTTGCAAACAGGGCTTTGCTGGAGTGGTGGGCTCATCTACTTGTGGGGCAGAAGTGGCCCCGACAGTCTCCCCTCTTTCAGGCCTGAGGGTGTTCTCTTTTGCAGGGCAGACGGGACTGGCCTTGGAGGGGCAGCTTGGGGGCGCGGGGTCCGGGGCTTCGGGCTGAGAGCTGGTCACCACGGGACCAGGGGGCAGGGGGAGGCCCGAGCGCAGCGGATCTGAAGGTACCGGGGGACCCGGCTCCTCGCCAGCACCACCCGCTCCCCCTCCCGCGGCCCTTGGAGCTCCGCGGCCCGACGACCGCGAATCTTTCGCGTTTAAGCCTCAGTCAGTTCGTCCCAACCGCTAATGACATTTGGACCGCCAGCCGCTGGCCTGGCCGGGGGGCCCTGTGGACGGGGCGCCCGGCTTCTCAGAGTGGAGGGGTACCCCTGAGCTGCAGCCCCGGCTCTCCCCGTGCGGACGTGGGGGCCCGTCTACTCGGCTCCCGCGCGAGGCGCTGCTGTTCCCCGAAGAGCAGCTCCGGAAGGGGCCCCTCGGCTCCCTCTCAAAGCACAGCCGATGCAGACCCCGCTTCCAGGGGGTGGAGCCCGGGCACGGCCGTGTGTCCCCCGTGCTCACAGACGCGGGTCTTCACGGCACCAGGCGGACCGCGCCCCAACGCCCAGCCGGCCGGCGCTGCCCCCGCTCTGCGAGGTGGCGCTGTGTGAGGTGGCGCCGCGTGGGGTCGCGCTGCTGTGGATCACCCCGCGCGTGGGCTCACGCGGACGCGTTTCAAGACGGCGCCGGTCCTCTCGGGCACTTGCTTCCGGCTGTTTCTCGGCTGGGGCGCGGCCGGAGCAGCACCAGGCCCCCCGGCCGCCTGGCGTGCTCTGTAGCGCTCTCCCCTTCAGACTTGTCTGTGCGTCCTTTGCAGACTCACACTTTGTCTTCTGCGATCAGACACCGTCTATGAAAACACGTCATCGATCAAATAAAGCGTCGTCACTTTCAGGCCTCTCTCTCTCTCTCTCGCTCCTTTCTGGCGTGGGTAAGGCATGCTCTCGGCCCGCGGGATGGCGTCTGGGTCTGTGGGGCCTGCGGGGTCTCCTTCTGGCGGCTGAGGGAGCCGTCCTGGGACGCAGCCGGCGTCGGCTCCCCGTGACACGCTGCCCCTTCCCGCACGGGGCCGGAGCCTCAGGGCCTGCGGCGCAGCGGTGGAAGGGAGGCTCCTTTCCCGAGGAGGGCGATGGCCGCGCCCAGCGCGTCTGCCGTGGAAGGAGCGTCCAGGTGTCCACAGCGCGGGGACCATCCGGCCCTCCAGGAAGGAGGACCCGCGCTCGCCGGTGCCCACCTCCCCCTCCTGAGTCGGCGTTTCCTCCCAGCCGTCCCTTAGGCGTCGGCACTGGGGTCCGGGCTGGCTGGTTCCGGGGGCCCCTTGGGCTGTGCCCTGCGGGGAGACCAGGGTCACCTCTCTGGGTGCGGAGCCCCGTGCGCCAATAGGGAGGCAGCAGAGTGAAAAGCCGGGCCCAGTGTCCCCGGCACCCCGTCCCTCCCCTCAGGCGGATGTGCCTGCCCCTCCCTCCTCTTCCCCCATCAAAACCCCACTCCTGCCCTGCTGCCCCCCAAACTCTCTTTGAGTTTTTCCGTTACAGTCTACACACCTGTTTCAACAAATAACACGAAGGCCCCATGCCACCCTGGGGGTGACCATCACAGCCAGGTGGGGTTCACCCCTCTAGCCTCAGAGGCAAGGCGGGGCACCCCACCCATGCTGCATAGCCACAGGCCCTTGTGGGCCCCAGTGAACCCCACTCTCACTCGGGCCGCACCGCACCTTCGTGGGAATGTCCCGCATTTCCCTTCTGATGGACACGGTGGTTGCTTCGACAGCAACAACCAGCCTCTGATAAACACAATGCAGGGGCACCCCTGCACGCGTGTCCTCACCGCCTGGGATCCAAGCCACGGCGCCGGTCTGGAAGCACAAGCCCAGAGGTATCCACGAGGTGGAAGAGCACAGAAGTGGGGGTGGGGGGAGCAGGGCTCCTGTGGCATGGGGGCTCGGATGGTGCGGGGTGCTCAGGGGCACTCAGGGGGCGCAGGGCACTTCTGGGGCATGGGACGCAATGCCGGTGGCCCCCCACATCCTGGGCTCGCAGGGGGACAGCCACTCCCCGGACTGCAGGTGTGGGGCACAGGGAGTCCCAAGGCTCCCTGCGCCTGGACACTGTCCCCCTTCACCCAAGGGTACCGTGATCCCTGACACCCCGACACCTTGCAGTGAGTGCCTCGTGGTGGCCTCCTCCTTCGCGTCAGAATGAGAAGGAGCAGGAAATAGAGGGGAGACCTAAGGCAGGGCTCGCAGACCGGGATGGACCAAGCCCCACCCCTCACCCACCCCCCTGGGTTTCGGTCCTTCTCTTCGGGGGAGCCAGGGTGGGTCTGTGCCCGGCAGTGCCAGGCTGGGGACCGTGACGCAGCCTGGCCAGCTGTGACTCTGGACCTTGCGAGTCGAGTGGCTTACCCGAACCCCCCATCTGGCTGTCGTGGCGGACGGGAAAGGGGTCTCTGCAGTCCCAAGACCGTTCCTGGCTGGCAGGGCTGGGGCAGGCAGTGGGAGCCACAGCCGGGAGATTGGGTGTCCTCGGGCTCCCTCCAGTGGGCGCTCAGGGGCTGCCGCCCAGAGAGCCGGGCGCCAGGGAGGCAGGTTTGGGGAGCAGGGGAGAGGAACAGGTCGTCTGCACCCAGAAAACCCAAGAGGAAACGTCGCAGGGTCCACATCAACAAGGGCAAAGCAGGTGATGATTCCTCCCCCTGGGGAGGAGCTGGCCTGGGAAGGAGAGAGCCCGGACTTGAGGCCGCCCGGGAGGGGCCGCGAGCCCTCCAGAGCCACAGCCGGGGCGGACGGTCTTGAGGAGCAGAGCGGCGCCGCGCGGCCCGGGCCGGTCCTGGGAACGGGTCCCGCGGTTCTCAGAGCAACGTCAGGCGTTGTCTGGAGTGGACACGGCCGCAGGGAGGGCTCAGCACGCCCGGGGTCCACGCATCCAGAGAGGGGTGGACGGGTGGGTGGGGGTGATGGACGGACAGATGCTGGGTAGACAGCGATGTGGTTGAGAGACAGAGGACAGGTACCACTGCTGCGTGATGCTTGCACCGTGAAGTTCGCTTTTCAGTATCCGCAGACGCGTCAGCCGCGCCGCGCCTGCCCCGGGCACCGCTGCGCTGCAGGGAGGAGGGTGCCCCCCCGGCTCGTGGGCCGGCTGAACCATCACACCTGCGGGATGGGCTCGTGAGGGACAGAGCCGTCTTTGATCACAGATGTGAACGAGTCGCAATCTAATTCCGCGTGAGTGGGGAGCCCACCGAGAGTGGGGCTCTGTTTCCAGCGAGGCCCGGTCTGCATCTGGCTGAGCAGAAGGGCCGGGCCCAGGGCAAAAGGAGGCACAGGGCGGGGTGCTCCGTCACCGCACGTTTGTCTCACCACGGGACTGGCTTCTCCCAGAGAGAGGTTATTTCTGGTAAAAATCCCAATTCTGGGTAAGACCCCCAATTTCATTCTCTGGAGAGTTGGGGGCTGCTTTCTCCTGAGCTGGGACTCAGCTCAAGATAATCCACTTGCCAAACTGGCACGTCTTGGGGGGGCTGCTCTGAACACCTTCGTCACAAAGATGAGATCAAAAATGAAAACCAGGGCCTCCCCGGTGGCGCAGCGGTTGAGCGCTGGGTTGCGAAGCTGCCCACAGCCTCTGCGGCGCCGGTTCTATCCCCGCCTGCTCCCCGGCCACCAGAGGAGGGTCCCACATGGCGCGCAGACCTCTCCTGCCACCCGCTGCTCCCCTCAGCAGTGTACTTCGTCAGTCTGCCTGTTCTGCTCCCCGCTCTGGCTCTGGTGGATCCTCTCACCGTCCCCCGCATCTGGCCTGTACCCCGGTTCTTGTGTAAACGAATAAATAAATCTTTTTTTAAAAAAAATGAAACGCAGAAGAAACGGGTGCTGGGCACCCTCACTCCCCAGGGCAGACACATGTCCCTGCCCGTGTCCCTTCCCCCCGCGCCCCGGCAGGTCACACGTGGGAGTCACCCGGCGCCTATGGCCCGTGGGGGGTTTAGCAAAGGCAGCTTCAGGCTTGATAACTGCTGTAGTTACCCCACTTTGGTTCTGAGGCTCAGCGGGTCCCTCTTTCCAATACAGTATTGAGCCTCTTGA